ACTTTCTTTTCCTGCTGGATCCATTACGATGGACCGACCAGATTCTGGACATGACATCAGCTGGGACTACCTCATGTATGAACCGAAGAGGGGGGTCAGGATCTTTCTGAGTGTGTAACAATGGAGATGAAGACCTTCCTAGTCAAAATATTGCCCTACTGACCATGCTGAAGTTCCCACCTCTCAAATCTGTTGTTTCTTTTTCCTTGAAGTGATACTGAAGAAAGCAGATATTGGTGTTGCCCAAGCTGAGGTACCAGAGGTCACCATGCACAGTCGCTACAGCTTCTGACTTGAAGGTATGTAAGGCACTAGACCAGGTGGTGGTTGCTATTTGATCCTCTGAAGTTGGTTTATAAAACCATGCATTAGGTATCTCTTGCATTATACCTGTGCAAGGYAGGCAATTTCAGTCCCCACTTTTCTGGTAGTTTTTGTCTGTGCATATAAATACCGCCCAGCTGGGTGCTAACACATTAATATTATCATTTTCTGTTGTTACTTGTGGAAGTCAGGGGCAAGTCGCTTCTCTCTGTGCTCCATATCTTGTTTATTGGAGGCCTGGTGCTGTTCCGAGGCCCTGTAGGAATATGCAGAGCTTTTTGCAGCCAAAAATATTTGTCTAGGTTTAGCTTAGAGGGGCATTCTGTTTGTATATGTTGTGCGTCACCACATCTGATACCAAGTTCTGCCTGGAAATCTCTAGGATTCAGGGGCAATTGATTTTTTTTTTTGGTGTTAAATCTCCATGAGGAGCACTCTCTGGGTCTTCTGTCCAATGCAGGAAGGTCCTTTCCTCCCACATACCCCACTTCTCCTCCTCCCACTTCTCAACCCTCTATGCAGTGACCATTCTGCTGCCTATTTCAACTCTGTTCCCCTAAAATGTCCCTTTTTGCTGCTCTGCCCATCTGTGTGAACATACAGGGACTTTGGTTGAGTCTTGTGCTATAGGCAAAGCATCAACAAGCAGTTTTGCCAGGAAGGGTGGCCCTGCAGGGCTGTGACAGTGACTGCAGCTAGAGGCAAAGCAGAAGGATATTTGGGTGATGCTTTTTATTAGGCTGCTACATTTGCTGAGTGTTAAGTCCTAAAAATTCTTCCTGACGTGATATTTAAGTATTCAACCTTTAATCTGACGGCAGTTACTAGTCATATGAAAGCATCATAATAATAAAAACTGACATCAAATGATGCAGCAGATAGTTTATGTATTCATATTAAAATATTTGAGGCTATTTGGCAAGCTCCAGCTTATCTGAGGAAATCTATTTGTGGGTGCCTTTGAGCGCCAGCCCTTGCTCCCACTTTCACCCTGTGTTTCATGTTCTCCCCACGCTGCAAGCAACCAGATGGTTGCATGTAAGYCAAAACTAAGAAGGATTTCCTCTTTTCTTTTGAAGGGATGGGTGCTCAGAGATTTATCGGTAATGCAGTTGTACTTAATCAGATAGAGGCTGTCCTGTGTAACTAAGAAAGCCGATAGCACGTTGCTGGCCTAAGCATCTACTTGATGAAGTAACACTTGAGTTCCCCTTTTGCATTCTCTGTAAAACTGATCATTTTTACCCCCAACTTGGGCTTTGCCTTTACGACAAATCAGGTCAGTTATCTTAAATGCATAGTAATGATGATGTAGCACAGATTTTGTGTAATATCAATTCATATTAGTAATTATTTAGAAATGATAAACACTACATAATTTAGAGCTATCACCCATTCTGTGCTACGTAATTTTAATGTTTGAATGACCAGGCTCATCAGACATAATTATTTCTTCAGCGAATCTACTTTGCACACTAGCCTGTGCTATTTGTATAGATGTTAGCATATTATATAATCAGCTTTAGAAAATGCAGCCATCTGAAAGCCTGTTTCTGTGCCTGCGCTCATGTACTACCCTAAACAAAAGTCTTGAAATCAGCATAATTTTACTATAGACATTTCCATGTCTTTTTTTCCCTTTCTTTAGTAGAATAATTTAATACCTTAAAAACTGAAGGTGTCTGAAAACTATTGCCTTCTAAACACCTTGTAAGTGAAGTTTATCGTACATATTTTACTAAGCATGGGCTGTGACCTTTTTGAGATGTTAAAACCAGCTAATTAAATAATGGAACAAACTATTTGGAAAGTTTGAAACCACCTTTAAAAATTTTCTCAGAAACATTCAACAGCTCCACCTGAAATGGTCACCAGTTGTCTGAACCTGGCTCTGTTCAGGGGCTCAATGCTCTTTGTGTGTGTGTGTGTGTGTGTGTGTGTGTGTGTGTGTGCGTGCGTGCGTGCGTGTGTGTGTGTGTGTGTGTGTGTGTGTGAGAATCCTACCTTTTGAGCTCAAACTATGAGAGGATCGGGGCTACCACGAGTCTCCAGTCTCTTCTGCAGCCCTGCATTGGAGCCTGTGTCCCTGGTAGTGCCTGTCTGAGCACTTAAAATATTTTTATAGATAACTAAAATACAGCAGCAAAAATGGACCCTTCCAAAGAGAGGATGAAGTAGAATTGCTACTGTTAACTCAGTGAAGTAACATTGTAGAATCATCTCTTAAGAGACTTAAAAAACCAAAAACCTAAGACCAGCATTTCAGTATTTGAGGTTTCAATGGCTGCAGCTCCTGAGCACCTCTTCAAGCTCTGGCAGCAGGTCTAGCCTGTACCTCATGATACTGAGCCCTGCCTCCCTCTAACATCCCTTTGTTGAGATTTGCCTTCCTCCCTCAAAAATGGGAACAGGAGAACCAACCAACTCCTCAAACCACCTTAGGCAGGACCCCAGCAGCTGTTTCATCATCTCATTTATAGATTGGTGACTTAAGAGAGATGCCATTCAGGGCAGCTTGTCCCTCCTTTCTCCATGGCAAGAGCTACTCTGCTATTTCAGTTGGTGCTCTGGTTACACACTATAACAACAAAAATCAAGGTAGCTCAGTTGCATGGATTAATTGGCTACAGCGTAAAGATAATCCTGCCTGAAAGGAAAGCAGTAAAATATTCAGTATGATAAATACAGGAGATGTCATTGCTGAAATCCACTTAAATCACAGATTCTGCCACTTTTATCCATGATGATTGGAGACACATGATTAAACCTTGCATTATTGCATGATTATAACCTTAAGTGAGAGCAGGCCATGTTTGATAAATTTGTCCCAGTTTTTAGCTACTGTATAGGGATAGTACAGGCAAAGAAAGTGGTGATAGCTTATAGGGGCAAATTTTCTAGATCGGAGAGCAACTTTGCTTCCAAGGTTATAGAATCCAGATTCTGGATTTCTGGACACTGCAACTGTTTGTGACAAACTGAAAATAGAACAACCACGGAAGGTTTTACACTTTTATTAACAAAAAAAAAAAAAAAAAGAACCCATAGGGCTCATAGATTAGTAGAAAATACAATCATGTTCCTGTATGTTAAAGTTTCCAACAGCATTTTTTTTTGTCTCTTTTAAACTGTTTCACAGTTAAGTTATTAAAACAAACCCCCTGCATATTGAACTTATTGTGCAAACAGTAAGTATTTTTAAGGACCGATTTCTGCACTAAGCCCAGTGTCAGAGAGCAGAATTTGACCCTATTTTCACCCCTCCTTTGAAGGGTCCACGTGTGCTTCCGAAGAAACACTCTCTAGTTGTTTGGGTTGTTTTTTTTTGCAGCAAACAATCTAAGGCCACAGTTTATCTGCAAAAAAAAAAAAAAAAAAAAAAAACAAAAAAACCCAAAAGATTTAAAAAAAAAAAAAAGGATATCTTTACTCTTCATGCTCTTTGTTGCTTGACCATATTTTTACCAATCAGCTAGCCAGGTAGTGTACATCACCTACCAGGTATTACAGTCAAATAAAAGCACCTAGTGTTCTTTAAGCTAATATCTTGAATTATTAACATGCAAGTTAATATGCAGCCACACTATTTTTCAAGTAACTATAATGATATCTGTTTAAGGAAAACATTTGTTCCCTTTTAGAGTGATGTAAATGAAAATCCTGCATTGATTGCATGAGCAGACAATGATTTAAGTAAAAGGCATGAGAGCTACATCTTGAGACTTAAGACAACACTTGCTTTTAGAATGTCCTAATACGTGCACTCAAATTTTGGTTGAAGCTGCATTTGCTACAGCTGACTACTCAAAACTTGCAAATGAGGGGGAAAAAAAAAAAAAAAGTAACTGCAGTTTGGGACCGCTGATCTCCATTAATCTTTTACATCGTCATAAAAGTGAACTGAGGTGATGTGCTAGAAATTAAACAATGCAAGGAAGTCATACCAAGAGAAGACTAAAAATAGGTTATCTAAATATGCTTGTAGAAAAGTCCCTGCTTCTTTAATGAAGACAGATCTCATACAAAAATCATTTAAATGTGTTTAAACTGCAGTTATTGATGAAATGAAGGAAAGTTAATTACTCGTCTTGTAGTTTTCTGAGAAAGTACAAYGTTCTACCACATGAAGCACCAAGTTTTAAACTCCAACCCCTCCTTAAGACACATGGAATAGTTCTAACAGTTCAAAATCCCCTGTAATTTGAAGACTCGTCTGTAAACTTGCATATTGAGGATGCTGTATTTCTGCTCCTTCGAGTGTTGATGGCATTGCCACCGGGTCGATTACTTAAACCAACTGATGCTTGGCAGGAAGCAAACATTCTACTTTAAATGAAGGCTACAAAGGGCCAAGTAAAATGCTGTGCCTTCAGTCTTAGCAGCAACAAACTCACTGTTCTAAATGACCTGAGGAAGAGAAACATTATAATATTGCACCAAAACAAAATTAGACAGCAAAAAACAAACATGGAAACACACTAAAAATGAGAGAAAAAAAAAAAAAAAGCACAACTATGGGTAGCAAATGACCAGTGCAGCCCCTGACAATACACCTATGAACAAAAATGCAGGAGTAATGAAAAACATTGTGCCCTTAGCAGAGGATTTTGTTCCCCTGATGCCTGCTTTCACTTCAGTTGTATGCTCTGTCTATTCTGGGTATATTTACACTTCTCCCTATGTCTCTTATCCCTTGTTCACTATTGTGAACTCTTGTTCACTATTTCATTTCAGGTTCCTTCTGTTCCAAACTTCGAAGTATACTGGAGGTTTACAAGACTTTTTTTGGTCTCAGATCTGACCGTAAGTAAATATCCAAAACAGAGGTAGGCTTATAAAGGCTTCTGAATAAATAAATATTGTCCATTTTGCCAAGTATACCTGCTGTTGGCAAAAGGTTTCTCCTTTGCCACGCTTGTCATGCTATCCATAGGCATAAGATGAAGAAAAAGAACTACATAGTGAAAGAGGCTAGAATAATTCCCTTAAGAGATCCCTTTAAAGAAAGCATAGTGCATAAGCTCTTATCAAAGTTCAATTTTCCTTTACATACTTGTGTCTTTCATTCATTAACGGTTGTCTTCATAATATTGCGTAATAGCTATTTTGTCATCCATGCCACCTTTAGACAGGGTATGAATGATGAAATAGTACCACTGGACAGGCATTAGAAGGGCATGTTCTCATGAAATAGAGTTAAGCTGGAGTGAAATTTTAGTAGCGTTCCACTCTTGGATGCAAACAGTGCAAAACCGAAGCCCCAGAAACCTGGGGAATCTTTTGGAAATGTGTTCTTGCCCCATTCTGTTCTACCACCCAAGTTCTCAGTATCAAGATCATTACTAAAATTCTTCTGGAGTGCTCCTTGTAACATGGAAGTTCTCTTCAAAACATCCTTACTTGTACTTTATACAGAATATCCACTTTTTCAAAGACCTTCAGTGTTTTCAGGTACTTTTCATGGTACCCCACTCATAGCTGCTCCCATGACATCCTCCGTGCAGACTAATCCAGCAGATTCTTTTCCATCACCAAACATGCTCATACCTCCATCTCCATTTTCCTTGACTTTTCTTGTATGCAAACTTAAGTTTGAAAAAGAAAACTGTTTCCTTTTTAGCTGCACAATCAGCTGAAGCAGCAGAAAGATAAGACATTCATCACAATGATGCTCCTTACAAATCCTCTTCAAAGCATGAATGAAACCGGCTGTGTTTCTTCTACATCAGTAGGATGTGGATCAATCTAAAGAGTAAAAAAAAAAAAAAAAAAAAAAAAATCAACAACAAATGATTACAATGATTCTTGCAATTCTACTTTTTTTAATTCCCCCTCTATCTAACCAGAAAAAAACCTTGATAATTCAGCAGCGGCTTTTCAAAGAAACTTGTTTATTTTCTTTACCTCTGAATAAAGAGGTGGAGGCTGGAACCGGAACTCTTGTATGTAAGCAAACACAGGACAACACAATTGTTCCTCACAGTCAATTGGTGGGGGATAAGCAGGAACATGTCTGGAGAACTCTTCCTCAGACACTACATCAGCATAATTTGGTGGTGCTGAAACACAACAAGTACTACTGTCAGATTTTATCCACTCACACATGGACAATATGTGCACTGTATCCAAGACTATGACCACCGTATTTATTAAACATTGTAGGACAAGTTTGTATTGTATTAAGTGCCCTATAGTCATCAAGATTAGATCCAGAGCTGTTTCTTTAGAGATCTGAGGTGATTCTGCAGCAACAGATTGTAGGAACGAGATGACATTAGGGCTATTTCAGCAACAAATCTGGGCTCTATTTAAGCTTTATCTAATAATGATCAACTTTAAGGTGTCTACCTCCAGGGCAGAATAAATCAAAAGCAGTCAGACAGGTAAGGAAAGCTGGAGTCTGGATTTTGAGTCAGATTTAACTGCTTTGTTTCTCATGAGTCTAGCTTTAACAACACTTTTATTTATACAGTCCTTAAACTGGCATTACTATCCTTTTGTTATAGACAGTGCTAAGCTGCATTGTATAAAGCTCAATATGAATTACCTTCAGGGTGCTCCGGCATGGTCAATGCCAGCCAACTCATATCCATACTGAACTGGCTGGTAATGCTGGAGTTCCTGCTTGAAAATCCAATACATGGAATTGTGCCAATCACCAGAGGCATTTCAATCATCAATTTCTTAGCACCAGGGATATGGATATACACCTATGGGACAACCCCCAAATAAAAAGACTACCATTAAATGGTTGCAGCGACAAGGTACCCATTTCCTATCCTGTGGATGGCTTAAAAATTAAAATGCATTAAAAATGATCACATCCTTGATTAAGTTTAGCTCATATTATGAAAGCTTTCATTATTCCTCAGCTGTTTCTTTTTATATGTTGTCTGTAGGTGACTTAAGATAACGTGTGGACTCAAGTATTTGCACAGTTAACTTTCAGGCCTGCCTTCCCATTTATGAAGGGAATGGCAACCCTTTCAGCTTGAAATACTTCCCAATAACCTTTCCCAGTCGCCACCAAGCTTATTCTTCCTCAAAAGAGTTTTCTATTTTCCCCATTATTCCCATTTTCCAATTTCAGAATTTGCTTTTCAGACTCCTAGCTATATATGGCATTTATTCCAAAATGCTTCCTACTACAAATTTCAGAGCTGCTCAGTAACAAATATACTTCTGTTCCCAATTCAGCTTTATACTCAATGCGTGCACAGCTTGAGTGAAAATCTGGACTTACTGCTAATGAATATTCTACTCGAATAATACAGCAGTCAAGTATAGAAGGGGATACAGGTGGGATTTTCAGAGTCTTCCCATTCCAAGTGTCTGTACTCCCAGAGGCAATATGGTTTCCTCGCACATTGGCAACCATCTGACGGAAGGTCTTTGTCTTCCCGCTGGCCAGGTAAGTTTGTGTTTGGAAAATGGCAGCTTTGGGAACAATCAAACGAGAAGAGCAGTTCTCAATTTCTGCATAGATTGGTATGGCCTCCCCTAAAAAAAAAAAAAAAATAATTACCAGAGAAAGTTCAATGAATAATTTCTCAACTTTCCTTTGGGAATATCAGAACATGTTATGGAGCACATACATCATCTGCAAAGTTATGAAAACAATACTTGTTAGTTTTTTCAAGCTAGTTTCTCTGCAAAGTGTTATCCAGGCAGAATTATAGCCACCTACTACATTTTATTATAAACAATGATTCATTTTGATACGTTAAGTGTAATAGGAACAAGCTTTAAAGCTCTGTTTTCACATTATGCAGTCTTCCTTTTATACAGTACTAACTGAACTTCAGACTGCTTCCTCAGTATATCTAATGTTACCAAAATTGCAGAGAGGCAGCTACAGCTGTCTCATGTTTGCAAATCTAAACCCAATACATTAAAAAAAAAATCCCCAACTTATATATTTTGTCCCATCTAAAAACGTTCTGTTCACTTGCAGGTATTTGGGCTTTCCATATGAATATTAACAGGACCACCTTTCAGTTTATGTTCCCAGCTGAGGGGGGTGGGGKATTTATTCACTTATTGATGTATTTTAAGTGAGATAAACATCTCACTTTAGTATCCACTAAGTAGAGCTATTCCTCCAACTGTTTTCCATCCATCAAATGTTGGCTTTGCAGAGATCACAAAAAAATCCTATCAGAGATCTAATATTCACATTTTTGAAGGGTGAAGATAACTACTCTTACCATTACAGTATCCCTTCCTCTCAATTTTGGCACTCAGAGACACTGGCCCAGAGGTGAAAAACCAACAGCCAACCATCTTCTCCTGACTTCTTAGAACAGGTGTCTATAAAAGAATATTTTTTGTTTTATGGCATGAAGCTACTAGTCACTTACATCTTAATGTTATGTGTATCCAGCATTGAAATCTAGCCCTAAAATCCACTTGGATCTAAACCACCGTGTTACTCACTGCAGCAAGTGGAACCACAGTTGGGCCAATTGAAAACACTGCATGATTTCAAAACCTACTGTGTGCTTAAAATGTGTCAAGTGTCTAAGAGACCTATGTCCATCTGTCTGCAGAAGGGTTTATGGGCGTGACTTTTTAAAAAGCCTAGCACAACATACTCCCTCCACTGAACTGCAGTATTTATTACCCACCTTCCTCACTGGAAGAGAATGCAGAATTAAGTTATTCTGCATGCAAATAATAGGTAAGGAAGCAAGCTATTTTTATCTTTGTCATCCTTCAAAAAAATGGTAAATGTGTACAATGTGGGCTAAACTGATTCATCTTCAGAACCTGCAAGCTGCACATGACCAACATTTACTCTCATGTGATGAAAACCTTAATTATTCATGAAGGCCCCTCATATTTGATGATATTTATGCTGTAAGACTTTCATTAGGCTTAGCTTGAAGCATATAAGCACACAGGTCCAGGGTGCAAAATCCAACTTCACTGAAACTCCAACCAAGATTCAGGCTACTTAAAATGATTCACTGAGCACCGCTGCAGACTCATAGACATTTGCAGCCATCAGGGTAGTTACAAAGTCTAAAATTTGTGCTGTTTTGTGCTGTTTTGGAGTGAGCCTGGTAATCCATTAATACAGGCATTGCCCACTCTGCACATAGCCCTTTCCTACTATTATCTACTCAGTATTATCCTTGCAGCAACTGGATACGCTGTCTTCACATTCCAAACACAATGTTGAATATAAGCACTGTATTCTGGTTGCAGATATCACTGCCAAGTTACTCAAGTTCTAGCTCTAGAAAGACAAAATAAAATGCAAGCACATAAGGGGGAAAAAGCAAAGTGCTTAAAACATCTCTTAGCTATGTTCACATTATGATGAGAAGTTAAAATTATCCTAGCATTTTAAATAAAACAGAAATTACCCATTCATATTTAAATGACCTTAAATGAATAACCATTTAGATCCAGTTGCTATCRTGAAAATGCAAGGTATAATTTTATATTATTTTCATAATATGGGTTGAGATAAAAGAATCCAGCTCATTAGCTTCCATCTTGCCTATTTTCTCATTATTTAATGCCTGATCTTTCTTATTACTCTACAGTATTTCTAGTGATTATTAAAATCTCAATGCCTTAATGTGGCCAAATCTGTCATAAGGAAATAAGTGAAAAGATCTGTGAGGCAGCTGCATGCATGCACTTAATGTTAGAAAAGGACATGCAGAATGGAAGGATACATAACATAATGGCCAGCGTATAAATGACAGCCTTGGCATGATTAATGCTCTTCTGTAATTACCATTCCTCAACCTACTATTATTGAAAAGTTTAGGACACTGCAGCCCTGTGAATATAGTTGCTCTGGTAAGAGTAACTACTCTACCCTTGTGCGTTATTATTATTAAGCCTTATTAATGCATTTTAAGCCTGCATAACTTTTTGGCAAGAGCATCTCTGCCAGCAGGGATGTAATCAATGGTATTAAAAAAAGCCACTCTGTTTGCTATTCACACAACCTAAGATCATCTATTTATAGAGAAAAGCTTAGGGAGCTTATATGCTTTCAGAAGTCAGAAAATGACACTCCAGAATAACAGGGAAATGGTTATGGCTGGATGCAAATTCTTCTCAGAAATGCGTTTTTTGCAGCTGTCTTTAAGAGGGGGCGGGGGGAACCCCTCTTACCAACAAGGCGGGCGAGTTGACATCGATATGGCTAATAACCTGCAGCTCTGTCTGCACACTCTGATCGGGCGCCGCGGGCCTTTCCAGGATTGCTTTCACATAGTACTGGATACTGCCATACTTCCCAGTAAAAGAGGTCACCAGAGGCCTGAAACAAGCAATCATGAAAGCACGCCTGTAAGTTTACAATTCAGGTCCAAACATGAATGCTTCCTGTGTATATAAGTGTTTACCAGTCTACAGCTCCCGTTTTTAGGGCCTTAGGGAAGCTGAAACAAGCCAGGCATGTCTACGGGGTGGTTGATAAAGACAAACATGTAAAGCTGACCAATCAGTTTGATACTAAGAAATAATAATAATGAGTCAAATTATATTGCTTCATCAGGTTTTCAAAAACAACTTATGTCCAACTCGCTCCCCGTGGGTTGCATTATTTCACTTACTCTTGTGGGAGCTGAAAGCTGAAGGGAAATTCATGTTTTCCATCTAGAAGAATTAAGCTTTCTTCACCTGTAGGACAAAAACACACAGTATGTTTTACTTTTCCTATGAACAGAAGAACAAAGCCTCGGCTTTTAAAAATCATTTATAAGGAGGAAATTTCTTATTGATCCCAGTGGGGTCTGGATTGGAGCCCACACTTTATTTATTCTGTGGTGCAATTTCAATGAGAAAAAAAAAAAAAAAAAAGGAAACAGGGAGATCTAAGTTTCAGTTCAGGATGGTGGCCAATACCTACAGCAGGATGCTTTCTAGAAGGAGAGAAAGGGATTTCTTCCATGACTTAACAGGACAAAATCCATTTACTTTTTTTTTTTTCTTTTTTATAGAGAAAAGGAGTAACAGACCAACTTCCCYGGGGAAAGGCAGCGCTGCAAGGCGGGGATGATCAAGCACGGCGTTAGGAGCAGCCTGGTGAGTGCAAGGCCGGGCCTGCCGCTGCCCGCTCACGTTGCCAGGTCCCGATCTGCCCCGTTTTCACGCATTTCTCTCCCGCGGACGTTTCAGCGGGCGCCAGGAGGGCCCGTCCCCGCCGGCCCCCACGCGCGGCCCGGCGCCAGGGGAGCCGCGGAGCCCGGGGCCTCCCCCGCCGCCGCTCCGGTCGCCCCTCACCTGCGGGCGGGCGGCGCAGGAGGCTCTGCCGCACGTCCAGGTA